AAATAGGCAAAACACACATGTACATGAAGTAAAAGTTAAAAACAAAGTCTGTTTTTATAAACAAGACATTAACAAAAATGTTAAAACTCCTTTAGCTTCAAATAATGTGAAAAAATATCACCCAGTTTCATGAATATATTTAGTCAAAATTTGTCTTTTAAAGAAATATATGATGATTTTCCTTCATTTTTATGAAATGAAAAAAAATTACCATTAATTCTTTTTCAGATCTTGAAAAGACCAAAGTCATTTGAAGTGAATGTTTGTGTGTGCAATTTCTCCTTACAACAGTTTTAAAAATTTATCAGCTGAAAAGGAAAGCTGTGTATGTGCTACTACAAACTCACACTTTGCCCTCCTTTGTTTCTCCAGTAGTTTGGCAACATAAAGAGTTTTAATTGGTACCAGGCTTTAACAAAGGAGTCATAGGTGTATTTCATCCAAATTCAAAGCATGCCAAATTAGTGTCAAAGGGAGACAAGAAAAGTTAGACACCATGCTAGTGGTGGCAAACCTGTTGCCTGTTAGAGCACATTCACTTCATTCATTGGTTCTGACTTTGTATTTATACATAAAGCTCATTAGAATGATATACATGTGAGCTTAAGATGTTAAGCAAATTTTCACTTAAATATTCTGTGAAATCCAAATACCTTGTTGTTTTTCTCCTTTTCAGAACCTTATTTGAGAAAAAATTTCACTTTTAAGAAGAAAAGCACAATGCAAAGAAAAATGAACTTTAAAAGAGGTCTGTTAGTTGGAAATCATTTATTGCCTCTATAAAAGTTTAAATAAAAACTCTACAAAAATTCACATTACAATCTGATATGGTTTTAAAGAGATAATATGCTTCAGAGGTAGTACCAGTAAAATGGGATGCAGAATTGCTAGAAGGGATTACTCAGTATGTTAATGCAAAATAAAATTTCAATGAGGAACAATATATACCCCGTATACAGTTTAATGAAACAATCATAATTATATCAGCATGAAAATATCCCTTTTCTTCTTTCCTCCTTGGCAAATGTGTTCTTAATAAAGATTTGTTTATGTCAACTGCAGGTTCACAAGTTAGTAGGCTATTTCATCAGAGCATTACAAAGCATAGCTTGCTGACGGGCGAGGCACAGTGATATCTGTCAAGGTTAACACAACTTCAGAAAGAAATTAACTATCAATTTGATACACAGCAATGGTAACTCTTCAAAGAACAATAGCTTTTTTAATTTTGGGAATTTGAATGAAAAGAAAATTGACTATAAGGTCACACCATTCCTGGCATTTTATCACTACCTCATAGATAAAAGGCAGCAGATAAAGATTTCAGAATTTCTTTCAAAGGTGATTACAATCAGGCTAAGAGAGGGGCTGAAAACCCCTCCCCCCCAAAGGAAACTAGTCATTTTTATCATCCAGTGTCTGTTTATATCTACCACTTAGCTTTTCTCCTATAAACTGATAAGACTGCCCAATGTAAGGGCCTTAAAAGTAGATGTTTCTGTCTTTGCAAAAATGAACTCTTGGTCATCTTTTGAGGTCTGGGTATTAACTGTATACTGAACACAGGATGTGACTAGGCCAGAGCCTTTTTTCTCCAATAGTAACAAACATTTCTATCACTGATTACAGTTGCAGTGTAAAAGTCCTGTTGATAGCCGACCTTACAACAAAACATCCCCCAGGTTCTCTAAACAGACCAATTTTCCTTTAACATTTTCTTTGCCTGTGTTAATTTTCCTATTCTCCAGGGCAACTGCAATTTTCATTTTCTTCTAACTAATTTTAACTTGGCTGAATGAGGAAGGTGCCTTCTTTTTGTTGTTATTGTTATTTCAGGGTTTGTTTTTAACTCACGTTTTAGAAGGTAAGTGCTCTCAGATATACATTATATGCTTTGAAATTGCTTGGTATCCTAAGCTTAAAGTAAACATTTAAATGCAGTTCAGTAGGGAAGAAATCCCATTTACATTTGCTTCTCTGAATGATACTTCTGATAGTATAATATGCTCTAATATTGTCAAAGCCCTAAAGAAAGAAATACTACTTAGATGATTTTCACTATGATCCACAGACACGTTCATGAAAACAGTCAAAAACTATCATTTTTCTTGTTTAAAAAATCTCAAAACCAAATATATATGTGAAAAATGTATGTGAAAATTGTTTCCATTATAGTAGCTTCGTATCTGTCCTCCTGAAGTACTTAGGATTGAACCTGTGGCCCTGTGCAAGTGCCAAGCTAGCTCCCCAGTTGTATAATAGTTTTTTAAAAAATATTTGATCTTCTTCAAGGTCTGTGTTATGTATTCAATCTGCCAAAATATGATTGTTTTGACATTGCTGCAACTATTTCTTTTGGGTATGGCTACAGAATATCGCCACTAATATTTTTTTAATGTTTTAATTCCTATTTTCATAAAAGATATAATTCTATGGCTGAGAGAAAAACACCAGGATAAAAGTAGTCCTAAGTAGACTGTTAGGACATATAGCTTCTAGGTTAATGAAACTTTAGGAATAAAAGTATAAGTTAAATGTCTTTCCAAAATTATAGCTATAATATTCCTTCTAAGTATCACATCTATTAGAATTTTTAAATCAATTACAACTGATAGTTGAACACCTTTTATTAATATCGATGAAAAGGTTGACAGGGAAACATTTCTTTGTATTTTGAAGCCCAGCTTTCCTCAGTCTACCCAATGTGAGGTATCAGTGTTGTGCCATTGTACTTAGCTAAAATCATTCTTTTTGTAATCCATAGATTGATAAGAAATCCACTGTCTTTTCTATAGTAAGAGCGCCATGAATGTTTTCTTTTATTTAGTGACAAATCTTTCAGTGTAAAAAATAAAATTAGGAGTGTTAAAACACATAGGAAAGACTCACTCTGCAATGAAGGCCGACTAAGAAGAGTTTTAAATTCAAGCAGTTTATAAGTTCAAAGATAAACTCAACCTTACTGGAGAAGATTGTAGTAGAGATTTGAGACTAGAAATTCATTTATAATAGGATCTCGTGGTATAACCATAGCATATCTGACCCCAGAAATTTCTTCATACCAGGATCTCATGGTATAACCTTAGCACACCTGACCCCAGGAAACTTGTTCATACTAAAAGAAATAGAATGGTGAAGGTAAAAGAAACTAAAATAAATCTTATGGTGAAACACAGTTGTCATCCTAGAGTTTTGGAAACAGAAGCAGGAGCAGTAGGATTCAAAAGCATCCTCAACTACATTGGGAATTAAAGGCTGGTCTGGGCTACAGGAGACCTTGTCTAAATACTCCATATCACAAAATAATGGTTTCTGTATTTTTTTGTATACAGAGGGTGGGGGACTCTTTATCTCCTAGATAAATTTATGTGACGGAAAATTTAACCCGAACGTTTGAGGTTCTGTTGCTCAATGGTCTTTTCCCTGAATGGAATTTGATTTGTCAGCAAGGAATACCAAAAGTTGTTTGCAAAGAACCGCATGACGGTCAGCTAAAGAGCATGTAGCTGACTACTGAAATATTTCTGCTGACAAAGAAGCCATAGAAGCTGTGTGGAAGCAATGTAAAATCAAATAGTCGATAAACTGAATGACCATCAATGAACTTTACTTGTATATATTGGAGAGAAGGGACATTTCCAAGTTAAAGGCATTTGTGACTGCCTTTCTGTATTCTGAAATTGGTATCAGGGAATACTGAGATCAGAATCAGCCACAGTTAAAAAAAACTTAAAAATATTTAAAGCTTGACAACTAGAACAGTTATCTAGCTGCTTCACTCTTCCTTCAGGATTAGATAATAATTCAATCATGTAATTTAGTTCCACAAACAAGGTCACAAATATATGACAGTGAGCTTAGGGAGAAACTAGTGTTTTCCCATCTATGAATCTTAGTATTCCCATCTGGTATTCTGGAAGGGAAGATCTGCAAAGGGATGTCTATAGTGTGCTATCATCTGGTTCCAACTAACAGTAACAACTGGGTGTTCATAGAACAGCATCCAGGAAATTCAGAGGACTTTAATTTACAATCAAAGTAGTATAACTCTTTTTTGATATTGTTGTTGGCTGATGGCTCTGTACAGGCCTCGTATGGAAATGAGGTAAACTTTGTGGCAAAGTTGTATGGCTAGAATACTAAAGAAAACCAATATCAGTGGCGTACTTTGATTTCCTGCTTCACAAAGTTCATGATGTGAAAGAATATTATGAAATTGTTGGTAAACTTGAAGTATTTGTGCAATATTTTCTCTAAATGAATTATATAAATTTACTGTATAGTAGAGTGTAAATCACTAATACTGATCATTTTCAGTATACAAGAATTGAGATTAAAACTGTCTTTTATAAAGTACCGTTTTTGTATACTTAAATGTTTTGGCTTTTGTTGGTTAATTTACTTTCCAGAGTATTTTCCACTCTCCCCAGTTTTATAGACAGAAGAATACCAATAACTTAAATTACATTCTAGTAATTGTTTCAATTTCTAACCATTATCTTAGGTCAAATTCTCATAGGAGTTAAAAATAAATCCTAGAATTCATCTATGTTAAACATACATTTAGGTTTTGTTTTTTTAATTTTCAGCCCACTTTCCTGAGTACAAATGTATATGGATGATAAGAAAATGAGAGGAGAAGGAAGCTGCAATGGCTACAAAAGTAAGACTAATAAAGCTTTAGCAACCTAGTAATGTTGAAATATGATTATTTTTATGTCTCTGGTTGAAACTTCTACTAAGATTCTTCTTAAACAATAAGCAAAAATCTTTCAAAAATCAGATATAATAGATTTCATGGCTGAATTGTTTAAAATTAAATATAATTTTTTCTAGGATTTTATAGAAGTTTTAAAAACACATTTCAAGTATTTTTACATTTGACATGCATTTTTATTGTAGCCATTATTTCTTGTCCTTCCTTTACAGAATATGCCTGTTTTAACAATGTGTTTTTCCAGTTGAAGATTATTGGGGAAAAATATAGTTATCTTGAAATGCACACCTGTTAGGCAACCAACAGAATACATCATATCCCAACCCCCAGTCACAAACTGACTGAGGCATTTTTCTCTGATAACGAAGACACACTGAATGAGGTATCATCAGGATCCGGTGAGGCGTGACTGAAATCCATCTCTTCTAATTCAGGAGGTAAATCTGACAGCAGTGCCTTATCAGAAAAAAAAATCAATTGTGGTAGATTAGTATGCAGACAGATATTTTTCCAACTTTATATTAATAGTTGTAATTCTCTTGTTTTAATTTACTCCTATGGATTTAAATAAAGAAACATTTATTTTAAGGATCTTACACAATTACTTATCTAAAACAGTAAGTTTTCATATAATGCTATGAAAGAACTACATATTAGATGACAAGTATGTGGATTATGTGGAGTAGAATCTTAAACAAAGGAGAAATCAAGAGGGAAATGAGCATGCATTCTGATGAGACCTGCAGCATTCAGAGTGCTTTAGAATGGCATGGGTGAAGCCATAAGCAACTGTCCCAAACCAAGGATTTTTTAACCATAGGCTTTTAAACGGTTGAAGTAAGTGATTTTCATACTAGTTTTGTGTGTTGACTGCTCACTGCTAAAGGGCTTTAATATTTCATTTTTTAATTAAAATAGTCATGCCTAGCTATAATATCATTTAATGAAACCTGCATTTCAACAAAGATCTATTTTGTTCTTTGTTAAAAGAATGAATTTAGTAGTTAGGGGGCAACTCTTCTATTGTACTTTAGATAACATTTTAACAATTTGAAACTATAGTATGGAGTTTTTGTTTGTTTCCTTTCCTTAGACTATGTCCATACAGGTGAGGGGGAAGCACCTACCAGGGTCTGTTCAACTATGGCTGTTGTAACAAGGTATCTATCTGCTCATTTCTTTGCTGTGACAATTAGGATATGCCAACATTCTTGAGCTAAGCTTGACCATATTCTAATTGTTCCATCTGTATTTGTAGAACATGTATCTATACTAGAGAAATAAACAATCAAGATTTATGTGCTTGACAGTGTTCATGCCCATTTAACTTTAAGAAATCAGAAGTAAAATAGCATAGTTTGTCTGGAAAATTTTCAACAGCATTACTTGTATTGTGGGTTTGGGGAGTATTAGTAAACAAGAACCAAGGCAACAGGAACAAATATAAACTGGCCATTGTCCAATTAAGGAATGGAAAGATGGGGTATGCTGGGAAAAATACACTGTCAAAATAAGACATGATTCTCCTCAATAAAACAGTGAGTTACACATCCTTTAATTTTTGCCTTGCAGCACAAAAATGACAAGAAAACATTTATTTTTTGGTCAGGCTATGTAATGAAAAACTAACTTATATGTGGAGAAAGTTATTATTTATTTTGTACCACTAAATTACCCATAGGTTTCTTGCTGAAACTAAGTGTACTTCCATATGAACGTACCATAAAGATACCACTTGCTTTCTGAGGTACTAAGCTGCAGTAATATGGCACATGCCATTTTCTTCTAGAACAGTAAGCTACTACTGATCCAGTTCAGGTACAATGGGGCCTTTGCTAATGTTGGCTGTTCAGAATGTGAGTAGGTACATCAATCACTGATTGAGCTTGCTCTACAGTTTTGAACATGCCATATTAAGAATGGAAAGGGGTTCAAATTGGCACTCATTGACCATGAGCTTTGCATATGGGAAGGTCAAGTGGATTAGAAAATTTCATACTGTAAATTCTAGTGGAGAGATGTACAAACTAGAAAAAACATTGCTATTTATCTTTTCTTTGTTGTATGGCATATAGTTGGCTGACTAAAATAAGAATAGAATTTAAAATGTTCAATAAATGAGGTAGTTCATAACACTTTTGATGTATAAATTGCACCTCAAAATTCTTTCAATATCTTACTGGACTGCAATATCGGGGCATTAAACAAGTCTCTGCTGATGATTAGAGTTGTCTTTTCCACAGAGATATAAGTAAGCACAGTTAATTTTCCTCTATTCTCCCATCCTCCGTGTGGCAGATTGAACCCTGGATCTAATTTACTCTGGGAAAAACACTCTGACAATGACTCACATCTACAGCCTCAATATTTTTTATTACATGTTCTTCATCAGTAACAACTATTTTCAAGGTCTGACCAAGTTCCATTTTTTCCCAAGAGATCATTAACACTTTCGCCAAATATACGCTCAGTGTCTGTAATACTTATTCTAGGCTGTAAGATGTGAATGTAAAATTGATAATCATTCTTATCCTCCTTGCAGAGTGGAGAAATTGAAGTTTAAGAAAGGCAATCGATCTGGCTAGGATCACACAGTGAATTATCAGGGGAAGAAAGACTATAACTAATGACTTAGAGCAATGTTGGCAACATTATATGGATGTTAAAATGGCTATTATTGATTTTAAAAAGACAACCTTTAGGTAATCTAATGTTTCAGTAAGAAAGTACCATATCTAGTTTTTAAACCCTGGACTTCTTTATTTGGGCAAAATAGTCCCTAGATCGCTCATCTCATTCAACTTATCCATGTCAAGATTAATGAAAGAAATACTGTATATTTTTTAAAAATAAAAAAGTAATGGCAAATGTTTCTATTTTACTAGGTAGAACATAATGTATTTCCAGAAATAAACTTCTGAATATATCAAAGTTTGAACATTATTAGTTTAAGAGAAAACTTGGATTATTTTTGTAAATCACTACTCGTATCATATACGTAATCATATGTATAATTCATTAGTTTTCTGCATTAGAGGCAGAGTCCAGGCTGTACACACGACCTTTCTGCTTTAAATTTCCAAGTAATTACAGGTGTCTATCACCACCGTATCCAGTATAATTTATGCTTAGGGAATGTATTTTAAAAATCATTATACTCAATCTTGTGCATGAAAAATAATCACAGGTTCTATTTAAGCTGCTGATTCTATAGGCTGTGGCATTTAGTATTACTTTTATATCATTCTCTACTTCAGCCCACACTGTGTTCATGTCTTACTTCAGTAGTCTTTTATCAGAAGAAAACTAGAAAAGGAAAAACAAAAGCATGTTAGTTACTTTTCTTATATGTTAGTAATCATTGGGAAAGACAAGATATCCTGAGTGAATTGGGAGCATGGGGACACTGTGGGAGGATTGAAGAGGAGGGAAGAGGCAGGGAGGAGAGCAGAGAAAAATGTAGAGCTCAAAAAAGAACCAAAGCAAAGCTATGAGCTTATTTTCAGATGTCAAGAAACAAAGACATTTACTAGTTAGCTGGTTATGAAACTGAATTCAAAATTGATACTGGATCTTTTGGACAAGAAAAACTTTCTAATTTAGCCTAAAGTTGGAGCTGTTTGTGTGTGTGTGTGTGTGTGTGTGTGTGTGTGTGTGTGTGTGTGTATGTGTGTGTGTGTGTGCACGCATGCACGCACGGGTATGTATGGTACGTGTTCTACAGTTGTTTGAAATCTATTATTCTATTGAAATTGTGTTCAATACTATTGCTCTTATTCATTTAAAAATCTGTATTTTAGGTTTATATAAGTCAAACATACTTTATTTTTGTTGTCCTTTGCTTGTTTTAAGGTAAGGTCTTAGTTTATGGCCAAGCGGAACTCCAACTCAAAACAGTTCCACTACCTAAGCTTCACTAGTGCTTGAGTGGTGGCATAAGCTACCATACCTAGCCTATTAACACATTTTCAATATGCCTTGAAATGTGCAAACCATGCATAATAAAGCAATAAACTTAAATAAAGAGATCCAAGGCAACTAAGGTCATTTGTATTGTGCTCTTCATGTATCGTCGGAGTTGAAAGAGTAAATTCATAAATGTGGGAAATAATACTCATGCTGGCTTTAGTCCCATGAATGAACTCTCCTATTTTAAATTTTGTAGCTCAGTACATCAGTTAAATATATGGAGACATTGTTCTTTGTAAGAAGGGAGAATTATGGGATGTTCAGACATTAACCTTTTCCCTGGAAATGTCTGAGATGGGCTATATATGCATAACCTTCTTGGAGTATAAGACATCAGTGATTTTATTTTTGACAATTTTGCTGAATAAAATCTTCTAAGACTATTTACCAAATTATAGTTACCTGTATCTCATACTACTTACATGGAACTTTTCTTATAAGGAGTTAGCATGGTGATAAATAACTTAGCAGCAAATTTGGAATCATTTAGTGTTAAACATAATATTTTATATTGGGCTAAATGAATGTGTGTATTTTTCTTGAGACTATATTTATATAGTCTTGAGACTATACATCAGGTTTTTCTTGAGACTATATGTATATATAGAAAAACCTGAGGGATAAATGCAATTTGGAAGGAATCTATAAACAAATATCCATAGCAAAAACAAGCCATTTCATTTTTGGAGTGGAGGTTTCAAACATTCTTACTTACATTGCAAAATATTATACACTATGATCACAAAGAATTTCACAAATAATTTCATGCTTTCTTAGTGAGAAGCAACACATCACAGAACAGACTGTCCAAACATTTGTGAGCTCCGGCAGCTGCTACTGAATAAAGAAATGCCCACATTTTCATTCAGAAAAAGCTTCCCAAACATGCTATCTACTTATGGGTCGAGATAGCTCCAGCTCTACAACATTTTTGAGGAATTCTTTAAAATGAATTTTAAAATTTGATTTTCTCTACTTAAAGGCTTTCCTGAAATTAAGAAAATATTCTAATTAGCTATTTTGACTTTGTACTCTAGTAGCATATAAAAAATCTGAACACCTATTCTTAAGAAAACTGTGTTTCAAAAGATCATAAAAAGAATCATTTGCTCCATGCAACTCCAAGCCAGAATGGAGAATACAAGTGAAGAGATATGAAGCGTCCAATATGACATGCCATTTTTCAACTTGACACATTGTGGCTTACTGGTCTCTCATGGGACTTACCTGCTGTTGTTCCTTATCATCAGCTTTCATTGCCAGAATCAGGTTTCTAACAAAAGTCTGGAGCTTAAAGTACTTTTGCTTTTGAATCTCAAGCTTATTTGCAATGAATCTGACTTCTTCATTCTAAAGGAGAAAACACCAAACAATAAAATTACCCCTGTGTGTGTTTGATGAATAGGAAAACTAAAAAGCAATCAGAGTATAGAAACAATAAAAAACAATTTTAACCATAAAAGAATATAAAATACAGCAGGAAATTATTGTGGTATTCAAAGGTTGCTGTTTAAACAAACCATCAATAGAAACAATTTACAAATAGATTCCAGGAAGAGAAAAACAAGAAAGACTTATCTTCTTGGGAAGAACTTTCCTATATCAAACTGAATTAGAAGATGTGAGTCACTGAAGACCGGCCTTAATGTGTGATAACTTCTGGTCTTCTATCTGCTTGTGGATCCAATGTGACCAAGCACCTCACACTTCTGCCCTCATGCCTTTCTTGCCCTAAGAGGCTGTATTCCTTTGAACTTGGAAAGTTCCCAAACAAAACATTCCTTTAAATTGCTTCTTGTCTGGTATTTGATTACAGCAATGAGAAAAGTAATGAATCCATAAATGAATAAAAATATTGTCAATTTTATTTAATTGTGCATTAAATTTAAGAGGTGAATTTCACTGTGGAGACGTTTTTACTCTTTGGAAGTTATGTAATATAGTACACTGATTAAATAAAAGCATACACAATATCTCTAATAATAATTATAACAACGTTAATAAAATTTAAGCTGGACATTGTGGTACATTCTTATTAATACCAGTACTCAAGAGTTTGAAGCCAGTTTGGGATACATACTGAGATGCTGACTCAAATCCCAACCGAACAAAAGAAACTTAATTCCTTTCATCTAAGAGAAGCTTGGCACTATTTGCCCATCAATCATCTCCCAATCCTCTCACCATGCAGCCTTGGGTGGCCACCATTCTATCCTGTTTCTTTGAGTTCAGTTGTTTTACATTTCAAATATAAGTGAAAAAAGTCATACTTATGTTTCTGTGGCTGGTTTATTTCACTTCTAAAATTCTATTTATGCTTCCACAGATGGCAAATAATCACTTTTTTTAATAGTATATGTGGAGAAGATTATAAATAATGTACATTCCCACAATTATTTGAAAGGCAAAACTTAAGGTTCTTACCATAGAAAATAAGTATTTGAAGTGATGGATATGTTGATTAGGTTGATTTAATTGTTTTCCATTGTATTTATACATCATACCATAACCTTGTACCTCATGAATATATATAAAGCTACAATTGGTCAGTTTACAATTGAAATATACATTATGAAAAAATAAAAATAAATAAAACCAAATATCAATCAGCCTCCTTGACAAGAACTGTAGAAGTAGACAGAAAATTCTTTCTACTGGAGACCTGGTCTCAGAGTACAGGAGGACTTTAAACAGCATTTGTTCAAAAAGCTTCCTAAAGACATATTAAAATTAGTTGATGGTATGGGTATTTTAGAATTTCGGTCAAGTGGATGTTGTGGTATTAATCACATCCAATCTGTGAACATGTTTACTATATCACTTATTAGCTCAATTTAAACCTTAATTTATGTGATGAAACTGCTTCCTTCCAGACCACTTAATAAGTGAAACATCTGTCCAAGCGAAATTTCTATTCAGTCACTAACACAACTAAGTTCAAAGTAAGCACTCTAGAGAAATTCAACATGTTTCTGTTATGATATGGTTTTACTTTTATTAGAAGTCATTGTCAGAGATTTGTATTAATAAAATGCTGGCCAGAAAATGATTTTCTTCTGTTTTGTTTGCTTCATATTTGATGCACATATATGTGGTATATGTATGTGTGGTATGTGTGTGCACATACACATGTGTGAGTCTTTCTCACTCTGTGTGTGTGTGTGTGTGTGTGTGTATGTGTGTGAGTGTGTGTGTATAAGTCACAGGTTGATATCAAGCATTTTCTTCAGTTGCGCTCCAACTTCTTTCTGAAACAGGGTCTCTCGCTGAACATGAAGCCCACTATTTCAGCTAGCCGCAGTTAGCCCTTTGTCTCTGCCTCTCCAGCACTGGGCTTCCAGGTATGTTTCACAGGCCAGGCTTTTCACATGGGTGCTGGAAATCCCAACTCAGGTCTGTCCACTTCCTTAGCAAGACCTTTAGCAATTCACCCATCTTTCCAGTCCTTGTTTTGCTTTTGCTGTGCAGTTGAGGGTACCCTTGACTTGCGCTCCACTTCCTAAGTTCTTGGTGTCCAGTTGTGTACCAGCACACTAGGCGGAAAGCCATTTGAATACAGGCTCTATCTATCATTATTTAATAACGACTCATTTGCATTTAGTCTGCCTGAGCTGTACTCATAGTCCATCAGAAAACATTTTAGAAACATTAGTTCATATTTGCCAAAGTCACGAAAGCATCTTTTCACAGGAGGAGCTCTAATTTTTCATGCAAATATTTCCCTTCTTCAGTATTTATGAAATGTTTGAAAAGCATAAACAATTTCAAGATAATTTAATATTGTAGACATTTTCTTCTCGGAAGTGCTTTTTGCGAGCCAATTACATGCTTCCTAGATTACAGGCAGTAATTTATGTGTGCGTTAGAGATTTTCTTAAGTCAGTGGAGTACTTAGGAAAGCAACTAATAAGACAATAGCAGACACCGACTTTTACAAAATAAGGACTAGTTTATTTTTGCTAAAAAACCTTCCCCACATTTCCAGCAAACTGTTTATAATTTTGCAGGATGATTGCTGTGAGACACAAGGTTGCAAATATGCCAGAGCTTTGATCACTGGGAAGGGTATTAACAGCTACCATGCCTGATGTCCTATTTTATGATATAGTTACTCATGCCACAGGTATTGCATCCATCAGCTTTCCTCATAAGGATTTGGGATTAGTTAACCCCCAGAAATATGAATTTCTACCGATGCATCTCAATCAGAATGCTATAACAACTAAACTTTATATTAATAAAATGCTCTATAGAGAACATTCTTTTAGTTTGTTATAATAAATCCCAAGCACAGAAGATGAATTCAATATGGGAAAGTTTAAAATGCTGGAGCTTCTAATACTAATTGAATTTATACAAATAAACACTTGGGAGACTATTAAAATTATTTCCAGAGACAAATTAATTTATTCAATTACTTTCTAAGCAACTGCTTACTAAACATCAATGTGCCAGGCTCCCCATCCAAGTAACACATAGGTGATTAAAATACATTTCTGCCTTCAAGAAACTTATTATGAATATACTTAAAAATGAGAAAAATAACTTTCACCCCTAAACAAAGAACACTAGTGTGTTTATTTAAATAGAGTATAGCAACTTTATTCAAGGTATTAAATTTCTAAACTGATATGTTCTACAGCAATGCTCAAAATATGAAATGGCAACTCCAGGGCCAACTTTCACAGATGGTAAATGGAAGCATATAAAAATAATGTATAGATAAATAGATTTTTGCTATATATGTGTACAAATATTGTGAATTCAAGGAAAGAAGCCTAAATGTGATGGAGGTAATTATAAGGAATGACCCATTATGGGATCTCCTGCTCCCACACTGGAAAACATTGGATTACTAAACTGTCTATTAGAGTTCAATGCAAGCATTCACTGCCTGTTCTGCTCTTCCCTCCCCGGTCTTCAGTTGCAAACTCTCTCGACTGAACTGCCACTGAAAAGGGGAGAGGTACGTCCTAGAAAAGAATCCTCTATGTTTCAGTCCAACCCTGTTTGATCTGTTCAGGAGTGCTAAGTGGGGCACACTTAACAGCTGCGCAATCCAGTCCTCTCGCCTGCACTTTCCACAGCCCGTGCCAAGCAGTGACCTGGTCTGCAAAGTCATTTTAATGCTGAACTCAGTAGTTAGAAGTATTATATGACCACAGGGGAGTATTAGTATGATCTCTTCAAACTGAAAACCAGCAACTTTATAATTCAGCTAGTTGGGAATACAGTTTATTTTTATTGAAAATTTATTCATTTTTAAGATAAGATCACATTATATATTCTAGGCTGGCCTTGAATTAATGGAGCTCCTCCTGCCTCAGACTAGTGAGCGTTGGGATAACAAGTAGGACCTACTATATATACACATAAATACAGTTTAAATATATAATTTTATTGTGTTCTTTGACCACTCAGAAATAAATTTCAAGAGACAATTTCCCTTTGTGTCTATAACACTCAATATTTTAAAGCTTGTAATGCTATGAACATTAGGAAAACAAAATGTACAATGGTCTAAAATTCAGTTAAACTAGTCTAAAACTTCAAGGATTTTTTTTGATGAAAGTGAAAGCTGTTTTCTAATTAAATGGTGGTCTTTGTTACTATCATAAGCTTTAAATTCTGATTATACTCCACAAAAAGAAACTTGGTATTTAGAGAGAAGCACTATGTGCCAAAATTTCAGAAAGCCCAAAGTTTCCTAGGAAGATAGGCTGCTGAGTAACAAGGGGAGAGCACGTTCACACAAAAAACAAATTGACAAACAGATTGATAACTTATGTCAAAATTGAGTAAAAACAAAATTATTCGTGACACACTATCAGAGGATACCTTCCAATTTAGTAACAAGTGGCATTAAGAAAAGGTCATCTCTATTCATATTCACCCTGTATTTTCATTGGGAAATATTTTTCAAATTCTTAAAAAATGATATCAGGTATAGTCTTAAAGACAGTCTTGAAAGAAACTGAAATCCAATATAAAATTAGCAATGGACACTGGAAAAGAAATTCTCCCATTTCCTAACATGTTCTTGTTACTATTGTGTTTATTTTGTTTGAGGGAGGGTCTTTCAATGTTGTCCAGTCTGGTTTTAAATTGCTGAGCTAAAGTGATGCTCCTACCTCATCACCACATATACCTGGGACTTCATGTACACACCACCACCACCTCTCTCAGCTTTACCATAAATTTCACATTTACCACCACTATATGTTGTTCCCACTTGAACACAATCAATGCCAATTTTTAAGCCAGTAAACACTTGTTATTAAAAACCATAACAAACAAACAAGCCAGCAGTATTAAAATGTCCAACATTTTGACTAATTTTCAAGTTGCCTGAGATAATTAGGACAGAGACCCAGATTGCCTAGTCTATCAGATGGGGAAATCAGAGGCATTATAAATCTTTTCCACTCAATAGCTCCCCTTAATGAGTTCAGAACTTGAAATTCCCTTTACCTTATAATCCAGGAGAGAATTCACTTGTTCTGCCTCAGAATTGCTTATCATGTCACTTTCTTCATCATCGATAATTTCTATTTTCTGTAACATAGGCAATAAATATATATCAGATCACTATACACAATGTGTCCAACATACCTATTTAATATTTAGTTTTGGTGACAGAGAGATTTAGGTTATCTGGATTAAACTTTGATAATTGGCTCCTTGCTTGGTGTTACACACAGGACGTGTCTGTGTTACCCCTTATGTCTTTAACTGGTGATTAATGTGGCCCTTCTTGGATAAGGAACTAATTTTTAATCTCTCTCTCTCTCTCTCTCTCTCTCTCTCTCTCTCTCTCTCTCTCTCTCTCTCACACACACACACACACACACTAGAAAGGATTTACTGTCTCAACATGACCCTTCCTTCTAATGAAAATGTTAACATATGGCATGTATCCCAAAGGAAAATACAAGGTCTAAAAATTCACATATTTAACGTGCTCCATTAGCTAGACATTTGAAGCAGCCATCTATGATAGAATGCTGAAAACTGCATGGGGATTTGTTTTCTTCATTGGACAGTAACAAAGAGAGCAAGGAGAGGACAGAGACGAGAGAGGTTCCCCTAGCTTCAGAATTAAGGCACAACAAAAAGGGCTTGTGAAGTACCTTGTGTACCATAGATAATAAGTAAATATCTGTCAAAAGGTAAACAATACATCTCAGTGCTGATTAAAATAATTACCAATAAGCTCCAACTGGAAGGATAAAACAAATTACTTAATAAGAAAACCTTTTAAAAAAATAAAGAAAAAACCAATAAAATCAGTTTAAATATTATCCTTTGCATGTAAAACAATGTAGTTAAGGGGAAACAAACTGTACCTTAAAACATTTAAACACTGCCAACCAAAAGTGAGGTTTAAAAAGAGGGAAGATAAACCAGATTTAGTCAGTAGTCAGTGTTTTAAGAACAAGCACACTAACAGCAGCATGTCGTAGGCAGAATATGAAATTAGACTTTCTGCCCGGGAATATATATTATATATCTATATTATATATATATATATAATATATATATATATATATGATTAAAATATATGTGATTAAAAGTCACAAACAAACTTCGAATCATCGTACTCGATATACTGCCGTTGAGGAAATGATATCATCACAGGGCTTTTGACCTGCTTTCTGTGAGTCAGGGACAGCTGCAGTGAAATTGCCTTCTACCACTGCGTGGAGATATGTCTAATGCTTTTTTTTTTTCTATTAGAATCAGGATAAAGTTGAGTCTTAATCATATCAGTCTTCTCTAGGCTTTACACTTCATACTTCTTGTTCTAAGGTTTTTAGATTTGCTACCTGTTTGGATTGATTCTGGAAAAATAGAGGTAGGCATTTAAGAAAAGTAGGTACCAACAGCCACTGTATGGAGTTGTGCATATAAATGGGTCTTATATGTCTCTGGGATTTGTCATCCATGAATAATTGGAGGCACTCAAAAGTTACAGGGAGAGAAGATCAACATTTGAAAGTTTGAAGTTTTGTCTCTGAAAATCAATTGTTCTTGAAAAATTAGGTGCCAAAATGACTATGAGTCATAGCATGCCACGACTTCATTTATTATTTTTAGTTGTCTGCTGCTGGGGAGATTCAATGTAGAGAAATTCAGGCTAGAAGTGAACATATCTTTGGAAGAAAAGATATTTCAATTGTAAATAATTATTTATATTTAATATGCTGTAATTAAAATCTAGAGCAGAAGGAGAAATTTGGCAAGATTTAAAATATTAGGAGAGTTCACTGTGGAAAACAATGATTATAAGTCATTTGAAAAAATAACCTGCCTTAAAATCAAACCTAAGTTTTCAATATGTCTGTTGAATTAAAAGTCAATGAAATGCAATCCAGAACTCTATTTTAGATGTAGAAAATAATGCTAGATATTGTTGGTATTTAACAAATATGAGCCCAAATATATATTGTATGTGTTCTGCTTTTATTAAATAGATGTTTAGGATTATAGGGCCAAAGAAATAACATCTGTGATAGAAGTTACAATAAATTATGACATCACAACTACTTTGGAAACGAAAACTCCATTATATGTGCAATTTTAATGAAAATTATGCATAGAACATTGATTCAAAAGCAAAAATGAAAATGTAATGGAGTTTCTTTTTGTGTCTGGCATTGTTTAATATTATCTTGATTTCTGTATCATTTTGTGGGGCCAAAATATAAACAAATTCTGCTAAAACAGCTGCTAAGGGAATATCACTATATGTTTACATTTTTTCCAATCCAGTTTAATCCACACACAGCCTGTTCCTGCTGCTATTCAAATTCTTAAAATATTGTCTTTCTTTCTTTGCTGTGATTTTGAACGCAATTACCAGAGTCCAATTTAACCAGGGAAAAGAAAAGTTTCCAAATACAGTATAGATAGGTACAGTCTAAACAGACAAACCCTTGGATGCAAGCACTTGTACTAATAAAGGCTTCTTCCACAATCACCACCTAAACTCCACTTCAATTCTGCCAGCTGTCAAATGAAATGAATCTGCTCTCTTATCAGTGCGTTTAAGAAAAATAACTTGTTATATGTAAAATATGTCATATTTGAACTAAGTTTTAGATTTTCATACTTGGAAATCTCCTAAAGTTAAAAAAAGAGAAAAGGTTTAAATTTTACTTATTGAACACTGAAAGATATATTAAAATCAGAGGGAAAAAAGCTCTGCTTTAGTTTACAGAGTAAAACAAAACTTTATTCTGATAATACAGATGGTGTCATCAACTGGCACAATGTTCCTAAAGTCCATCCTGTAATGAGGAAAGAATTTCAAACTACATACCACATTATCTGCAGATACTGCCTGGTGCTCTTCATCCTTCTGCGTCCTGGTCTCATCAGGGATGATGTCACTGGGCTCCTCTATAAGGAAAAAAAGTGAAGATTTCATATCTTGTATCTCAAAACTGAAGTTTTAAAATAATACTTAAATAATGCCTCCTTTACCAAAAACATACACATGGCAAATCTATTACAAATGTGCTTTGTTGTGAATTTTATTCATCCCCAAGTCACGTATAGTTTAGTTAGTTATGTGGATGGATAGAAATACAAGGATTATTATCACTCTTCTATTTCTAACAGAAAAGATGAGAGAAAACTCTAGCTTTAACAGTGGACAAGTACAGAAGGCATTTAAGTACTATGAAGTTGCTAAAAATGAAATAAAATGACCTACTAACAAATGAAAAACTGAAAATGATAAGATCTATGATGTAGGTTTACATAATTTTGTATTTGTAAAAGAAAAAAGTAGGTTTTTAATGAATTAAAAAAAGAATGATATCATTTGTGCTCAAGTGTTTCTGTTATTATGCCTGGATAGAATTATATATAACTATAATGGTTTTTACTTTAATTTTCAATTTTTTAAATTTTGTTTAGTTAAGCTCTTTTGGTAACAATACTCATTTTTGTTTTCTTTTCTTTCCTATTTTTTGTTGATAAGGTCTTATTACATAGCCCTGGCTGACAAAAAACTCAATGTAGATCATATTAACCTTAAAGTTTCAACAATTTTCCCACCTCTGCATCCTAAGTGGTGAATTTACAGGCCTTTTTACTACTCTAGACTTTGCTCATTGTAATAAAACAAAAACAAAAATTTCTCAATAAATGGCATAAAATTACAAAGGCAGATTTCCAATTTTATGAAAATGTAGGTTTATTTAAGTACTAGTATATACATGCTTACTGTTGTACATGCTTGTACATATGCAAAGAGTAAATACTTGCAAAAATATGCCCTTGCTCTTGTTTACACAGAGTTTTTCACTAAGGAGTAAGAGTCTTTCCATTTCCATGGTACTTCCAAATATTTCCTACAATGGAGATGCATTTTTTGGATCAAATTCAATATTTTACAATAATAAAATAGAGACAAATGATATTAATTTAGAGGATCTAGTCTAATAAAAAGCTCTTTGTGATGAGCTTCGGCAAGTGCCTGCTTCAAGGCCAGGGTGAGTCTGCATACATTACCCCCTAACCTCTTTATTTTATAGTACCCTCTCCCAGATGCTTTCAAAACAGAGTAGCACTGCTTATCTCTGGGTCTCTCTTCTCTTCACAGCAATTTCATGGAGATTATTTGAATAAATACTAGTAAAATTCCTCAGATCCTAGGTAAACAACATTTTAATTCAATTTATAAAGCAGAACAAAAATTTTTATCAGCCCTCCTAAGATTTTTCTAATCCATTCATCCCCACGTAGAAACATGAGGAAGGATTAGGAGAAATTCACTTAGGAGAATTGCTTATGAGAATTCAAGTGTGTGCTATCCAAGAAAACTTCAGCAGAATTTTAATACAATGTTTGGTATAAATTCAATTTAACTTTCTTATCTCTACCATACACTTTAAATTAAATTTTATTGTATGTACGTGTGGTATATAACACAATATACATTTATATAGCAGAAAGACCACTATAATGAAGTAAATTAACATATTTATCATTTCACAGTTTCCCATCCCCCAGGCAACACCTGCTATCATCACATACTGAAAATCCTGACTACACAATACATTATCATTAACTATGGTCTTCACGCTCTTCATTAGGTTTTTTCTCTTATTCATCACACACACTGCAAGTTTGTACCCTCTGAGCTGTATCTCCATTCTCCCCTCCCCATTCAAAAATCCACTGTTGTATTATATTTGATTTATTTGACCTTCCTTGCCCTGCTATTTGCTGCAACACGGATGAACCCAGGGGATGTTAACTAAGTGAAATAAGCCAGACAGACAGAAAGAAAAAAAATGCATGATCTCATTTATTTGTGAAATGTAAGGCAAGTCAATTTAAAATTTTATAAAAGCAATGAATCCTAGACAAAGAAAAGTTTACCTAGTCATTATTTAGACATTTCAAGTCACAGACATTTCAAGTCCTACATAATCAGTGATGCAATGAAATGGAAAGAGGGAAATTTTTCATTAGCTTTAGCTTCAGATCTGATATTAGGTACAGTGGTCTCAGAAGAGGGGTTATATTGCTCACCAACAAGATCATTACTGGTACTATTCCTTACAGGATTGCTGTACACTTCTTCAGATTTACTCAGAACTTTATATACAGTTCTGGTTCACTGACAGCTTATTTATGCATGGTTTGATTATTTTAGGAAATTTAAATAAAAGCTATTTTGAGGCTTCTGAAATAAGAAGGTGCAGAGTGATAAACTGAATAGGCGATGCTTCCTTCTGCATATAGATACTTGCAGCATCAACGAAAGTTTAAGATCCAGACACTGTCAATGTGTTTTGGTAATTCCTCAAAAAAAGCAGCTTTGTTAATTGAAAAATAAAAAAATAGAATTAATCAGTGAAACTTTAGAGGGCACCCTATGTAAACCATGGGGAGTTATCTTTTAATGCATGCACTCTACACACTCCACATACTAAGATACAGTTGAAAAAGAGGCACTTCTACCAATGTAATGTTGCATCAATTATTTCTATACTTTAAACCATTTGCCTCTCAGGAGAGTGAAAATATCTTTAAATTTCTCAATAATAAATATATTTTGGTAGAAAACAAAGTTAAAATGAAGGAGGTGAGTTAGCCAAGTATTATTTTTGCTGAAGTTTCCAAGTTGTACATAAGGGGTGAAGCCATGTAGCTTTTCCTTCCTTGCCAGATCAGTCCACCCATGCCTAGCTTCACTCCTCCCGGGAAAACGGAAAAGAAATGGGGAAGCAGAAGGTCAAGCACAAGGTAGAACTGAGTTGAGTCAGAAGGTCTGTGTCAGGGACCGACAAGCTTGCTCAGAAACAAAGGATTGCATGTGAAATTGTTAAGGGATCATGAACACTTTTGGTTAGCCAGCAAAGCTAGCCCCTTCTCACAATTTGAAGAAATATATTTTTTCTTGTAAAGACACTGAAAGAAACTGTATGGTTTTTTTCATGTGTTTGGTTTAACATGTATTATAATGTGCAAGCACCAATTTAAAAGTTTTTCCTTTTTTAGACATTTAAAATACTCTAATCCTGTTAAATTAACAGTTGTGTACAAGGACTATGAATTCTAGTTGTTAGGTTTTTGAATTATCTTTATAACTCTAATAAGACATCAATGCAAATCTCAATGTAAACATAATCTAGCTACATTTTCCCAAACTGGAAGAGAATATAGGTCAGTGCATTTTAGAGCTAGGGCATTAGTCTCAGCCAGACGATATAATTAGTTCTTACAAAAAGATCACATAGCCAACTCAGTCAGATTAGTATTCTCCATCAGCAAAATGAAGAAATTGTACAGGCCTAGTAGGAAACAGCACCAAAGAGTCTCCTTCCAGTCTTTGAAAATGCTTTTCTGCTGCAATTTCTGATGAGAATGAAAAGGTTACTGTGCAGTTGTGAAAAATAAGCCACCAGGGGAATTGTTTACGTCTCATCCTGTACTTTTTGATTCATACATTAAATTCTTTCTCTTCTTATTCTCATTAGGTCTTTAATACTATGCCAGCTATCTAGACAGCATTCTATTATATGACAAAGGATGCCAGTAGAGGAGCAGTGGTTTATTAAATGCAGATCATTAACACAGACCTTCAAATTAACATGCACTGTTTTCACATTAAGTGCTGATTTTCTAAAATTCTGGTTCAGGAGGGGAAGTAGCAGTTGGGAATGAAACTCTGCACTCAGGGGCCTATGCCTTTTGATTCCTCAGAGTATGCCCTCATAGCAAGCCTGCCTTTTCAGAGAAACATACAAACCTCTTCTTCCTTACTCACTTCAAATAGCTGTCGGGCATTGGGCTCTTAAAGACCCCATCATGTAATTACTGCCACCCAAGAATCTCCAGGCACATAGAATTTTGGAAAGACTAACAGAAGACAAACACATATTTACTAGACCAACCATATGAGGACAAATGACCTTAGAAATCATACAACATTTTTTTTCTTAATGATTGTGAAGCCTGCATCAGTTCCTGCCCCTCTAAGTTCTGCTATCATTTGTAGCCTTAAGTGAGAAAGATGGAGGAGGGTAGGAGAGGAAGAAGGAGGGAGAAGGGAGAGGGGAGGAGAGAAAGAGAGAAAGAGGTAGAGTCAGAGAATATTCACATTTGATAATCTTCCAAACACCTGGACTTAAAATTCGCTGTCCTCTCAACAGTGACAATTTTTCTCTGTCCCTATCATTATTCTACTTATTACAATTTGCCTGCCTGCCCCTTGGGCATGCAATTAATTGCTTTTGCAAAGAACCTCTTAAAGACTGATTCAATGGCCTCTCCTTTCTACTCAATTTCTATGATATCATTGAGATAATGACCCCTCTTATTTCTGAAATCTCTTTCTTTCCTTGGTTTTAGTTACGGCACACTATCCAGCTCTGTTCTTCCTGAAGGTTCTTTCAGCAGCCATTTTTCCCCCTGGGGCCCCAAAATGTAAATATTTCTCAACACATGGTCTTTCTCCATTGTCTTGTCTTGTTTTGTTTTGGGATTTTAATTTTCTCAATCAAAACTCTGCTTCTGTGGCGAGGTACTAATTAGCCTCTGTTTGTCAGATTGCTGTTTCTTCTCCCTACTTAAAGCTCTCTTTTGAGTTCCAGACCCATATTACCCAACAGGTCTCTGTGTATTTGCAGCTATTTTCTAAGCCTCAGAACTGCAAACCGAATTAATCTTTATAATGATAGCCTGACTATTTAATGTGATAGGAGTAAAAATTTTGCATACATTTTGAGGAGGAAATTGTGAGAAGATAGAGCTAAAGAATTTTACAGTTCATCTAAAGCTAAAATAAAAATTTTACCAGATAGTAAGTGATTTTATAAAGCCACAGTTAAAAACAGATAAATGTAACATAATAGGAAGTTCAGAATTTTCTCATGTGTTTATGTATGTGTACCTGAATATGCATATGTATAAATACATAATTAATTTTTGAAAGCTGTACTGAAATTAACTGGACAAAGAATGAATTATGCAACAAATAGTGTACAACCGTTGCTGAATTATTTGGAAAAGTAAAATTAGGTATTTTCCTCACACATCTTAAAGCAAAGTAAATTCTCAGTGAAATTAATATAAAATTGTTAAACTAAAGCCATAAGGATGCCAGAAGCGAATATATGAGCTTATTTTCACAACTGTATGCAAGAAGAGACTTTAATTAGGAATGCAAAGGATGAAACCACAAGGGAAAATATTTCTATGTCTGACAATATAAAAATTATACCCCAAAATTTTACCATGAAAAATCAGAACCAGGAGCTTTCATCCAGAGAAATGACAAGTTCTAATTCAAAATAATCAAATCCAAACTTCATCACTTCAATAATACATCTTGTTATCCTACATAATGTCATGTTGATAAAGCTATACCATTAATAATACTTTGATTATTCTCCTAATCCCAAAAAAGAGGAGTTGTTCACCTTGCTCTTCAACCTGGGGTGATAATGTTTTGTAGTCACCCTCCTCTCTACATTGGAGCTTCTGAGGTATCTAAAGTAACTGGTTAACTAACATTCCAGAGCTCACAGAAAGACTCAGTAAGAACACAAAAGATATGGCTGCTGCCAAATTTATTCTTGATCTAATTGCTAAAAATGATTTTGTATAATCAGTTATTACCCTAACATAAAATTTTATATCACACAAATAAAGCCACTCTTGAAGATGACTAGTATTGATAGGCAAAAAAAGCACACGCTACTCATCCAAGCTCCTGGGAGGTAAGGGTTGGGAAGTCCAAGACCAGTCTTTTGCAGCACAGTGAGTGCAAGCCAGTTTTTCTCTTTAGCTCTCTCTCCATGCATGTGGATATGAATATATATGTGTAGATGAATCATAAAAAGTTAAAAGTCAAGGAAATAAACAAGGGGTTGTTGAGATGGCTCCATGTGCAAAGCACTTGCCACATAACCGTAAGTGGGGACAGTTACCATATAACCATATGGAGTGGAGTGGGGATGGTTGCCCACCAGTAATTCTAGTCCAGTGGATCAGAGGGAGACAGGGAATTCCCAGAACAAGCAAGCTAGAACCAGTAAAGAGATCTCTGGGTTTGTGTGTCCCTACATACATCAAACACATGTATACACACAAAACAGATAAATAAACCAGAAAATAATTTGCCAATATACTTAACTGATATCGATGAAAAAAAAACAAGCAAATGAGAGGTTTTTAATTTCTAAAGCACAGATACAAAAGGACTATAGTTTTTATTATCAGATTCTGAAAAGTGCATAAGAAAGACACACTTACATAGACAGAAAGCAGGTTAGTATGCTTGATGCTGAGGACAGAAAAGGCAGTGAGTCAACATGGGGAGTTTCCTTCGTTGATTACAAAAAGATCTAAAATAAAATTTTAATGGTATAGATCTAAAAACTTTACTAAAAATGACTGGATTTTATATTTATGAGGAATATTTTCATTATATATAATGTAAATATGATACCAGGACTATTTATTTCTGTGCTCGAAGTTAAATCGAATATTTCTCTTGGGTACATGGTATTAATCTTGGCTCTAGCACGCAGACTTATTCAGGGAATCATTGAGAGGTAATACAAAGATGAGCCTGTTTAACTTCCTTTAATAGGAAAAGAAGGGAAGTCTAATGAGCAGAGTTAAATACTTTGCCTGACACTGTTCAGTTTGCTAGGGGAAAAGCACTGAATGGCAACTAGTATCTCAGCTCACAAGCCTATTATTCATCTTAATATACCATACTTGTTGAAATATTTGGAAGCTCTCGCCTAGCTGATTAGAATTCCAAACGTAATCATTTACCTGATTCTAGTATAAGGACTATTGTAATAGCTAACATTTTTAAAAGTAGGGCATCACTACTGTGATGTGATGTGATGTGATGTGATTCTTTGTGATGACTTGATATGGAAGACTTTTTACATAGAAGCGTTAAAAACAAATCTGTTTCTTTCAAACACTTGGTCGTATGTTCTGAACACTCTTTACTTAAAGTGCAGTACACTGAAAAGCAAGTAAAAATATAAGAATTTTCCAAAGGCTGTTATTAGGAGATGCAGTAAAGTACCTTGAGAGCTTGCTTCGGACAAACAGATGGACACTTCATCATTTCTGTCATTATCCTCTCCTACTTCAGGCCCAGCTTCCTCTCCTGGTGTGAGTGCAGACAAAGAACCAGACTCAGGCTGCTCAGAGAAATCAGCAGGGCCTCCTCTTGGAGGTGGAACTTCAATTCCCATTAAACGATATTTTCTTCTTCGATTCCCAATCCAAGTCTTTGTAAGAGAAATATAAGCAATTTTAGACAACCCAGGCATTAGAATAACAAACAAATGAAGCGTAAAATATGATTAGAAAGGACACATAAACACATGAAGCACCAAAACTTTTATGGCACTAAGCAAAACTAAAAAATTGTTTTTAGCAAAAGAGAGTATCTATTTAAATATTTAGACTTTCAAATGACATGCAGGCTATTAAACATTGCTTTTGTTCCTGCTTTTATTTTTATTTCTAAGGAAAATAATTTACCAAATTCTTAAAATGGATAAATGAATTTAGGCTTACAGCTACAACTGTCGCTCATGTTCCCTCTCTGTATATCTTTGGCTTCAAAATACCTGCTTCTAGTAGTCTAAATTTTTGATTTTATTAGACTTAGAACCAATTAAAGATGGTTATTTTTTAATCAATATTTGGAACCAAACTCAGAGAGCCAAATAAACTATTACTGAACTATATCATTAGTCTTAATTTTTGTTGCCTTTGTGCAGTCTTAAAGAAAGACTCCCACCCTGTAATCCAGGCTGGCCAGGAGCTCACAACACAGCCTGTGCTACCTTAAACTAAAAGCAATCCTTTTGCCTTCGTCCTCTCAGTGCTAAGATTACAGGTACAAGAAACCATGGCTAGCTCAAATACATTTTATCAAGATAATTGGGATCTCACCAAGGCCAGCTGGCCTAGGTCTGAAAAAGCATGGGATAAATCCGGACTAGCTGAACATAGCGGACAATGAGGAATACTGAGAATTCAAGAACAATTGCAGTGGGTTTTTGATCCTACTGCACGTACTGGCTTTGTGGGAGCCTAGGCAGTTTGAATGCTCACCTTACGAGACCTGGATAGAGGTGGGCAGTCCTTGGGCTTCCCACAGGTCAGGGAACCCTGATTGCTCTTCGAGCAGATGAGGGGGGGGGGGGACTTGATCGGGGGAGGGGGAGGGAAATGGGAAGCGGTTGTGGGGACGAGGCAGAAATCCTTAATAAATAAATAAATTAAAAAAAAGATAAAAAATAAATGAAGAGTCACAAATTTTTCAAATTTCAGAGACATATTTTGTTTATTCTTCACTTTGCTTCTTGTGAATTATGACTTAAAGTATTATAGAACAATATCAAAAACAGTAGGCCAAGTGTGGTGAAACATGCCTGCAATTCTAGCACTCGGGAGGTTGAGGCATTAAGGTTGCTGTGAGTTTAATGTTAACTTGGGATACACAAATAGTACCAGGCCAGTCAGGGCTACTTGGCAAAACACACACACACACAGAAAACTGGACATATTTTGTGCCCAGATTTTGGCTATAACATATAATATTCCTATAAAAAGTCATATATAACTTTTTGTATGGATATAAATTTTCATTTTATATTCTTTTTAACAATGTATGAAAGATCTTTCCAATGTTTAATAATATCAAGATATATGTATATATATTATTCTATTATTCCAGGGTTTAATTATATTGTTATGCTGAGTATTGAACCCAGGGTTATACTTATGCTAAGCAAGGCTCAATCACTAAAATTCATGGAATTCATTTTGGTTTTCCTAATGACTAGTAATGTTAAAAATCATTCCACATGTTTGTTTGCTATTCCTATAGCCTCTTCAGTAAAATGTGTCTTCTAACTGAAGTATTTAAAGGAGTGTTTTGCATTTTTTAAATACTCTGTATTAATTCTTTGTTAGATATGTGCTGGACAAATATTTTATCCCAGTGTATAGTCCGAATTTCTATTCTATTTCTGCAGCATAAACATAAAACATCTTTAAAATCCACCTCCCCTGAAGTTGTTGGTCAGAGGTGACCAGATACCCTCAAAATAATGCAGGCTGCTGCCATTGCTCTTGGTTGCCTACCAGAACGTGATGGTAAGACTTTATTGCTGAAGATACTCCACACTATAGTCACAGAACATGGAGGAATTAAGTTAGTACCAAGTAGGAAGCTTCCTCCTGGCTGACTAGCAGTCATGGTACCAGGAGGTGTCATGTTGGGTGCTGAGAGCAAAAAGTCCTCAAGAGTCCTAGTGAGCTGTGAAAGCGATGAGGTCCACTGCTGATCAGTGTGGCAAGACGCTGTTGCCAGTGAAACAGTGGCACAAATGTTGTGGGAATAATCAACCATTTTCTGATTGGATTAAAGGCCTGCTCTATGAGAAAAAACGCTTACCTAGTTCTGTAAATCCGGTCAAGAACCCGTGGGTTGGGAGATCACAGGCCCCAGAGGGGACATAGTATCACACTGTCTTGAAATTTGTATCCTTTTTGCTGTTCTTATTCATTCATTCATTTCTTTGTTTATTTTTACATCCCAACCAAAGTTTCACTCCTTTTCTTCCAGTTCCTCCTCCTTCCTCCTCTCCTTTCCCACTACTCCTCCTTCTTTGCTTCTCTTCGGATAATGGATTTCTGTCAGTCAGTCATGGTATAACAAGTTGCAGTGAGACTAGCACCTCCTTTCCTATTAAGGCAACCCAGTAGGAGTAACTGGTCCCAAAAGGCAACAGAGTCAGCAACAGCCCCTGTTCTCACTGTTAGGAGTCTCACAAGAAGACAAAGTTACACAACTGTCACATATACACAGAGTGCCTAGGTCGGTCTCATATGAGCTCATTAGTTGTCAATTCAGTCTCTGTGAGCCCCTATAAATGCAGGCTAGTTGAGTCTGTGGATTTTCTCATGATGTTCTTGACTCCTCTGGCTCCTACAGTCCTTCCTCTCTCTTCAACAGAATTCCCTGAACTTGGCCTAATATTTGGCTCCCATCAATTGCTGGGTGAAGCCTCTCTGATGACAGTTGGGCTAGGCAACAATGTATGATTATAGCTGAATACCCTTAGGAATCATCTCATTAATCTTTTTTCTTTCTTTGCCAGTCATGTTTGGTTCTATCCAATTTGTGTCTTTATACCCACAGATTGGTACAGTTCCCAGATCTCATTAGAGAAATGTCTTTGTGCAGTGCATGGCAGTTAATGTAGAAACTCACAACTAATGAAAGTATGGAGAATAAGGGTGCACGGTGTGTATACAACAAATGAGACATCTATATTCCATTCTTCTCTCCAAGGCTCAGTGAGTATTTCAGAAGAAGAATCTGAACAATTTTAAGAAGAGAGACATACATAGATCTAATCTACAAGGGAAGTAGAAAAAGACAAGATCTCCTGAGTAAATTGGGAGCATGGGGACCTTGAGAGAAGGTTGAAGGGGAGGGGAGAGGCAGGGAGGGGAGCAGGGAAAAATGTAGAGCTCAATAAAAATCAATAAAAAATGATTAGAGGTTTGGAGGGAGCAGAATGAAGGACAGAAGGTCAGGACATTAGACTGTGGTTCTCATGAATTCACAGCAGATGTGGTTGGCTACACAACTTCAAGCCAATCAACATTTCAACATGGAGGATAAGTGGCTCACTCATAAACCTCTACCCTAAGTTGAATAGGTAGGTATTAGCAGTTTCTGAGGCAAGGAAAGTGAGTTTTCTTTAAGGTGTAAGCCACTGGCAGGTTGACAGCTTCCAGTTGATGGCTTTATATCCATGAGTATATGACCAATATAAACTGGACTTTTTAAAAAAAAATAGGACATGAGAGATAGAAAGGGAGTAGATCAGGATAGAAAAGATGGGAAGGAAATGGGATAAGTAGATGTAGGGGAAACTGTGTTTAGCTATATTACACTTATAGAAAGTAATCTATATTTAATCAAAGGGGAAAAGACATGAAATTGGGAGGAAGTGGATCTGAGAGAAGTTATAGGGTTGTTGTGGATTAATATGATCAAAATATATCATATATATGAAATTTTCAAATGATTAATAATTTCTTTTGGGTTTTTTGAGACAGTGTATATTGCTATAGACTTTGTAGATACAAAATAAATAATAAAGGAACTATATAAACAATTCTGTACACACAATGGATAACTTGGATAAGATGGAGCAGTTCTTTCAAAAGTGCGAATTACCACAGTATGAACAAATTACTTGACTAGTAATTTAACTGTTAACACAATTTAGTTCAGCATTAAAAACTATCCTGTAAAGAACTCCCCAGAACTCCACAGCCTGCAGATAGTTTCATGCTTAATGGTAAAAAGTAGAAGAATCTAAAAAAAATTCTAATGAGAGTAAACAAGATATCCATTCTGATTACTTGTACTCAGTATAGAAGTGATTTTAACACACATACCAGTTTATGGACAGTACAGGAGCATACACAGACCAGAAAGGAAGAACTAAAGCTCAACCTATTTGCAGAGTAGAGGATATAGTTTATGATCCCACGGAATACTCCAACAACTAGTGAGTGAAATTAGCAAGTGAGAATACTAATCATCACAAAGAAACCAATTGGCTTTCTATGATCTATGTAGTAAAAGTAAACATACTGACCTGGATATGTTAGCGCACATCTTTAATCCTAACACACTCTGGAGACAGAGGCAGGTAGCTCTCTGTGAGCTTGAGGCCAGCCTGGTCTACAAAGTGAATTCTAGGACACACAGGGCTAAATAGTGAAATCCCGTCTTTAAGAAAAAGTGAACAGACTGAAGTTATAATTAAAAATATTCCCCAAAGCTACAGAGAAACCCTGACTTGAAAAAAGCAAAAAAAAAAAAAAAAAAAAAAAAGATATTACTTTCTTCTTCCTTTTCATGGTTCTAAGGATTAAACCTAGCAGGGACAGTAGGTAGACTCTTTACCCCTGAGCTATACTCCCAGTCCTCCACTTTATTCTATCCTCCCAAAACAAAATAATTACACAAAAACTTGATACAATATGTATATATAGGACTCATATGCTAAAAGCTACAATAATTTAAAAAGGAAAAGAATTAGCTAAAATTAAGTAGAAGGAAGCCATATTTAATACATATTAGATTAAGGGAATGGAATAGAAGACTCAAAAATTGGGTAAGTATGATCGGTTATTTGGCTTCCTACAAAGGTGTACAATGTATTCAATCAAGCTACAGGGAGTCTTT